CGCCCTTTCATCCCCCTCAAGGGAATATTTCTAACAGATCTTCTGCGAAGATCCGTTCTTGGTGCCGACTGGTTGCTAAATTTGGAGCGGGGCAAAGCGGGGGCCGTCGCCTGTGCCCTGGAGGCTTATTTCCAGGCTGGCAGTGGAAGGAGAACGAGGGGCGGGGGGAGAAACCCGCTAAGAAAAGATCCTGAAATCTCCCCCCCTGAGCATCGTCGGTGGATTTTCGCCCGGCTCTGGTTCGAAGATTGATGCTTTTGCTGGTTTTTATATCTTTATTTCTAAAGTCGGGACACTTTGCTGGAGATCGCCTAAGGGAGAGAAAAAACCCACCTCCAGCGGTGGGCACCTCCTGGAGTTCGCTGTTGCTGCCGCAACCTTCGTCATGGCCCAGGGCAGTCCGGCACCCAGTCTCGTGTCTCCTCCTCTGGCGATCGGCAGCCCCAGTTCCACCATGGTCAGTCTCAAGAGCCTCCTGCAGGGACCGGTCAAGAGTCCTGAACGCCGGGGGGCCAAGGACCCAGGCTCATGTGAGTGGCTCCCCACCCCACCCCACCCCCACCTCCTGCAACATGCCAGGTCTAGCCAGCTCTCGTGCACGCAGCCAGGCTCAGATCTGAGCGCCTTGCTCTGCCCGCCTTTTGCATGCAAAACATTTGCTGCCTTCCAACTGTTCCTTCAGCAATCCACAGTGGAGGGATTTGATTTATTTGGGGTTTTGTTTTGTTTGCTCAGAAATTGCTAAAGCAATATTTTGTGCCTCTCTGTGTGGATATATTATCTGTATCTATGTATGTGTATATCTATGTCATCACTAGGAGTTGAGAACGACTTAATGGCACATAATCAACTATATGTAGTATTTGCTGCTAGTTCCATTTTACAGTTTGAGAAACAGAGGATGAAGCGCTGTCGAGAGAGAGGGTGGCCTTATTTGCAGAGCATATTTTCCTCTGGTGAACCAAACCATGGTTTACTCAACACAGTCTTGTGGACTTGCCCCACTTACTTGAACCATAAACTTGACCTGGCCTGTCCAGTTTGCACCACACATAAGGTAAATTATGGTTGGCTGCTTTGTGATTCAGGGTGCTTGTGGGAACACAGTCAGAATTAAGGTGAGGGTCTCCTCTGGGCCATGTGTCTTTTTTTCATCCATCTCTGGACCTTTAGCAACCTTTCCCAAGTATTTCATTTTAATAGTCCAAGTGTTTTCTGCGTATCTCGCCTGAGACATGCCGATTCGTAACATGGATGCAGTTTAAAATAATTAGGAGTCTTATGTCATATGAAAGACAAATGGTGTCAAATTTTTGTGGGCTCTTTGTGTGTGCCTATACACACAACACCCCATAATAAATATCCTTTCCGCGGTCACTCCATCTTGTTCATTTTTCCTTCTGACTATAGTTGTTTCTCAGTCTAGACCTACCTATCAATTCTTTGGGATTCTTCGCAATGCTGGACTGCCTCCTCCATCCATTCTCTCTTTTAAAGCAAAAGGAGCACACCCAGTACCTTTGGATGATAAAAGGCCTCCGTGTTGGGATGCCGTGGTTTTCGGCTTGCTTTCACTTCCACCTTTTTTGCCATCTGGATTTGGGAAGAGGAGGGGGGAAAGGAGCAGAGAGAGCGCTGCCATTAATCCAGTGTCCTCATTTCAACCTGCTGCTGCTACTTCCCCTTTTTGTTCTGTTTCCTGTACTGTGGATTTCGAGAACAGGGTTTGTGTTGAAGCCTTAAAGGATTCTTTTTCAAGAAATTGCTTCTAAGAGCCCCTGTGCCTTCCGTGTGGCCAGGAGAAAGAGCCTCACTTTATTTTTGACGGGAGCATCCTTTTAATGAAGATTTGGAAGTGGAGGGGGCTCTCTCATGTGCTTTGGCTGGGAGGGGCTTAGATCTGAGCATTCCACAGGAGAGTAATGTGGTAGGTGGAGTTAGACACACGGCGTTTCTGGGCTTTCTGAGAGAGAGGGCAAGTCCTTCTCAAACCTTGCACCCTTCTGCTGGATTGGACTGCAGCAGTAGTTGGAGGGGGATGGTGGGAGTTGTAGTCCAACCAATAGGAAGGACGCCGGCTTCTGGAAGGCTTTAGCCCAGATTTAGGTGGGAGCCAAGGTTTTCAAAGATCGGGATGAGGGGAAAGGGGGAGAGAGGAATTTCCATGACCGAAACTTATCCTTCTCCCCATTCCCTATAACAAGCTCTTTAAGAAGCACCTGGCGCCCATGTCTGCTGTTGCAGTTTCTACAGTTCTTCCTTTTTAAATGGATTTTTTTGAATTCTGATGTTGTGTGTTGTAATTCAGTTCCTCGCAATGCAGCAGCAACGTTGATGGGTTGGAAAGAGTGGGTTTAT